GCCCCCAGCCAGATGCCTATCCAGCTTTCTGTTAAAGACCCACAAGGTAGAGGAGAGTACCACCTCCCTTGGAAGCCCATTCCAAATTCTGGTCACCCTTACTGTGAAGAAGTTCTTCCTGATGTCCAGCCTAAATCCGCTCTCTGTCAGTTTGTGGCATTGGGGTAACAAGGAACAGTGGTCACAGAGGGGAAGGTATCACCTCCTTGGTTCTATTTGTCATGCATCTACTGATGCACAACAAAGTGTGGTTAGCTTTGCTGATGATTTCGTCTCACTGTCGACTCGTGTTCATCTTGGAGTCCACTATGACTAAGAACCCTTTCCCCTTCCATGCTGCTGGGAGGGTCATTCCCCAGCCAGTAGGTGTGCTTGCACTTCCTCCAGGTCACTCAGTTTCCCACTTACCTCAGGGCTTTGGTTTCTATCCCCCAGTGAACCTAGTTTAAAGCCCTCCTCACTAGACTAGCAAGCCTATCTGTGAAAGTGCTCTTCTATCTTTGTCAGGAGGGTCCCATCTCTTCCTAGCAATCCTTCTTGGAACGACAGCCCATGGTCAAAGAAGCCAAATCGCTGCTGGCGACACTACCTGTGCAGCCAGGCATTGATCAGAATAATGCACCCACTCTTGCCTGGGCTGTTTCCCTTGACCAGAAAGGATCAAAGAGATCCACCCCCTTGACTTCCACACCCTTCACCCTTGCACCCAGAGCCCTGTAGTCATTTTTGATCTGCTCAGGGACTCTTCTAGCAGTCTCATTGGTGCCCACATGTATGGTAGTTGTCAGAGGGCCAGATGAGTCTCAGTAATCCCTCCCTTGGATCTAAGCTTCGGGCAAGCAGCAGACTTCCTGAGGCAACATGTCAGGTCAGCAGATAGATCCCTCCATCCCCCACAGAAGGGGGTCTCTAACCACCACTCATTGCTCCTGCTTCTTGGTGGTCTTGATCGTGGTGGATGGGTCGGTTTTCGTGGTGGATGGGTCTGGTTTCGACCTGGAAGGGTCTGGGCAGTGGGGTCCCTCAGGGCTCGGTCCTTGGACCGATACTCTTTAATGTCTTCATTAGTGTGGCGTCCGTGGGCCTCGCGTCCGGTACCGCCCCTCGTCTGGTAGGCCCTCCCCCTCCTCCCGCCTGCCCCCA